CAAGACCTAGAAATTTTACTAGTCTTTAGGAAATTTCACTAAAACTTTATTTTAAATCTTATTATCTTTACCAATTTCAGTCCGTTTTGCTTAATTCTTTTTGCAAGCTTATACTACAACTCCATACTACCTTTAATTTATTCAAAAATGCCTACCTTAACTTCAACTGAACCTGATTCATACAACATTGATTATTATTACTCTAAATACAAAAATCAACATGCTCTTGGAATGAACGAAATAAATCCAGAATCCTTTCGAATTCTGCTAGCAGAGGTTCAGCTAACAACATGTGATGCTGGTGCTAAAAAGAAAATATATCACTTTATAATCCCTAAGCAACCAATCTATACCACTTGCTTGTGTGGTAAATACCATACAAATTTTACTTCACAATTTTATAAAATTAAAGCTACTACTCTCAGTTCTCCTGCTATATTCTCTTCAATAGATATCTCTTCAACTATCTTGAACAAACAATTTAACTCAATTACCGATGAACTTCCTGCTTCACCTATCTCTAAACTTCAACTTTCACAACTTTTTAATCCTTCTCAACTTCCTCCAGTATTTAATACCATCACAAAATTAAATTAATATTTAACTTGTATTAATTTAATACTATTATTAAATAAATATTTATAAAATATATTTTTTAAATACTTAATATTTTAAAAGTATTTGTTTATATTTAAAATAAGTAATTATTAATTATTAAAATAAAATATAAATTTAATATTAATTTTAAATATTTTATAAGCAATTAATTAATATATATAATAAAATTATTTTAATTTAATACTTATTAATTACTATCCCTTAATCTGTAGATCATTTCCAGGCAAATTTGCCTGGAAAAATTTAGTAATAATAAATTATTTTTTTTTTTTATAAAAATTAATATTTTAAAATCAAGTCTATTTAAATTTAGTTTTAAAATATCCAAATAACCTTTAATTTATTCTAATACATTTCATATTTATCTTTAAAATTGATTAATTTTGAAGATATTACTATGAAATTTTAAATTTTAAGTAAAATAAAATCATACTGTTTGACAAAATTGTGCACCCGCCCGATTATCGCGTTCGAACTATTTGCGCAGTATTATGTACGTACGTACAGTATCTGCGGAAAAACCTATCTACCATATTTGTAAGTATCAGTATGCGATAAACTTTAGTTTGTAGATCTTGAACATTTTTGGCACAACTTTTTTTTAATGAACGAACATATGTATATACAATAAAAAAAAAGGTTAGAATTCACGACTCAATTCACAATTCAGTTAGGGTGTCCAGAATTCTACTGTGCATAATTCTGCTCGCTCTAAAAATATTTTTTTGTATTGTCTCCATAAGATAAACGTGACTTTAATCGTTTTTTAAAAACTAAATACAATACAAAAAGATATTTTTAGAGCGAGCAGAATTATGCACCGCAGAATTCTGGACACTCTAAATTCAGTATTGAGACAGATGTAACATTAATTTTAGTGCTACTAAGTTCGGTGTATGATGTGAACATTGTGTAGAAATATGTGCTGTTTTATGTTGAACTTCAGGATTAGAGCGCTTGGATTTTTTTTAAAAAAAATCTTAACATCTTTTGTTCGAAGCAATTTTTTTTTTTTTTTTTTTTTTTTTTTACAAGTATTACATGATTTAGGTTCATCCCAATTATAAAAAACATCTAGATGATGAGAGACTCAAGCCTGGTAGTTTATTTACATGTCGTACCTCAAAATAGTGAAAAGAAGTTTTAATGCAACACACAAGTAATGATTTAAATTTTTCTCAATATTGTAAGTTGATACGTTGTTATGCAGCAAATCCTGTTTCAAATTTTATTACTAATTATTTATTCATATATCGATATCGGAATTGAATTTTAATCCAACTCCTGTAATACGTACCAATATTGCCATTAATAGTTTTGACCATCTAAGGTCGGTCTTGAATATGAATATTTTTGAACAAACCTTAGTAAGCTTGAATTATCTTAAACCTAATTATTATTTTTAGAGTGAAAATCTCTGAAGCAATGCGGTCTTGGTTTGGTACAACATAGCGGAACTTTACATTTAATGCACCATAGTTGGGATTGTGGGGGGTTGTCATAATTAATTGCCTTTTCTCCACGCATTGATAAATAACGACAGTAAACACACGCCTCCCTTTTAACTCTCCATTCTACAAGGTGCTCTCCGTCTAATAAACGGGTCATAGGCAATTCATAATTTTTGGTCACGTGAAGGGCTCGTTTTCCTTTTGAAGAGGTTTGTGGTGATACTTTATCATGAGACATGTTTTTTGCGCTGTCAAAAGTATCTTGGATCAACTCCCATGCTAAATTAATTCTAAACTTCTTACTCGAAATATTTGAGTTAGTAACCTTGCGATATAAAATTACACAATTAACAAGAACAGTATCTAAGATCCAAAAGAATAATGGAAGCCATGTGCGTCTAACTGTCAATTGACAGTTATAATACCCACGAAGTTGGTCGGCGATATCAACGCCACCCATATTATAATTATAGTCATCGATTATTCGTGGTATAGCTAGTTCTTTTCGACTTGAATCTCCAAAAATTTGACGAACTGTGTTCGCATTCGAGCTAGTTTCACGTGGTCTTCTCCGATCACGAGTAACTTTCCAATCATCACCCGAAATTTTGTGAATAGTAGTTAACATGGTTACTGGTCCATTGTCAATCCATAGAACAGCTAATACATCGTTAACTACCTTTCCTAAAAGCGTATTCCAATCTAAAGATATTTCTTTGCTTGTTTTTAATTCTTTCGGAAAACTAATTGAATTTGTACGAACAGTGCCGCAGGCGCCAATGCCATTTTCACGTAAATATTTAAAAAGCGGTATGCTAGAAAAGTAATTGTCCATATATACATGGTACATTTTATTACTAGGCAGCTTACGTGTCAAATGCACAACTAAGGATCCTGCATTGTTAATACCAAGAATAGATTCTACAGATGCATTTTTTTCGATTCGCGAAGTAAACACAAACGACCATGTATATCCACGTTCACAAAGCGAGATAATTTTGTAACCTTCTGGAGTAGGTTTATTTTTCATTCTTACGGTATGGGCACTACGCCCGGAAAAACGTACGATCATTTCGTCAACTGAGACGTTTGAACCGGGAATGTAATATTTTTTAATTGCGTCTTGAACATAGGACGCTAAAGGTTCCACTTTAGAAAACCAATAAGGGTGAGGTTTACCTGGATCCGAAATATGAAAAAACCGTTTGATTTGCTCAAACCTAAGTAAAGACATGAACCTCTTAATCTCGTGAGTTGCTTGTTTTTCATCTCGATTCCACAAATCTTCCACTGCGTTAATTTGGTGAACTCCCTTGTAGATTATTAAACCGATCCAAATTTTTAACTCACTTAAAGTCAATGAACTCCAAGCGCGACCACCTTCTCTACCCTTAACCTGCTCATATTTATTAGTATTTTCAACGATTATCTGCAGCTGCTCATCTGTAAAAAATAATTGAAAAAGTGCAAGGGGGTTAACAACGCCTAGTTGAAAGTCATTAGGAAGCCTTGCGTATCCTCTGTGAAGTGGGTGATGGTTCTGTATAGGAATAAAATTAGGAGGTTCTAACATAGATAATGCCGAATGTGAATGATCGTATTCATTATTTATACCCCTTTCTTTACTTTTTTTTTTTCCACTTCCTCTAGGTCTTCCCCTACCTCTGGCTCTACCCCTACTTCTACCTCTACCCCTTTCCCTTCCTACGCCAATCCTTCTTTCCACTCTATCTAACTCTTCTCCACTGTCTACTTGTTCTTCTTCAATAAATGTATCATCATTAGCTTCTACGAGTACGTGGTCGATTACCAACTCTCCATGGCAATTGTGTTCGAAAGTAACCGAGTATTGCGTGTTGGGATCTTCTTCGTCAACGACAGTGTCAAGAGACATTAATATCCAGTTTTTTAAAACGTATCAAATCACGTAATGGTAATGGCTTAATAAAATAAAACAAAAATGACGATTTTAATAGGCGACTTAATGAAAAAAAAAGTGAGAGCTATCATGAACAATTTAACGTGAAAAAAAAAGTGCTATCATGAACAATTTAACGAAAAAAAAAGATTGGATAATTGTAAGCGAAGTATTAATCAAAAAAAAAAACGATAATTATCATAAGGAAAAGGATGGATAGTAGTTAATAATATCAATCAAAACCCAATTTACGACATTACTCAAACAGCGCTTACACTTGCTAGGTAAGTACAACTTTTATCTTATTTATATTCGTACTGGTAAACAAGCAGTTTACCTAAATACAGACAGTCAATTCACCGAAACTTCATTTAGCTGACATCACATGGGGTTAGGGTTAGCGTTTGATTAGTTGCGGGTATATATTTTTAGTGAATTGTCACTTGGCGTGATGTCAGTTAAATGAGCTGTCGGTGAAATGAAGTAAGGCGGGTCCCAATTTCAAGTGTATTTGCACTTGCATATCATCTACTAAGTTTGTAAGTAAAGTAAGAATAATAGAACAATACAAAGTACGCGGATATGATATAATAGGCCAGGAACCATATTCAAGATTATTGAATTATCAGTGTCTGTCACGTATCTGGCATATATTCACGTACGTACTTATGAACGTATGCACGAATACGCATATATACACACTAACTGATAAAAGATAAGATTGAGAGAATAATAGCTAGAATAAATAAGGGTGAGGCATTATTTCTGTACGTATATACATAAGTGAGATACTTGCATAACCGATGTGTTTTTAAAATTGAATAAACCTGTACAAGTTGTTAATCATTTGAATTTAATGCAGTGTAACGTTTTTTTGAAATTAGAATAAACTGTATTCCAGGCAAATTTGCCTGGAAATTTTGTCCAATAATTGTACAAGTTGTTGATCATTGGAATTTAATGCGGTGTAACGTTTTTTTGAAATTAGAATAAACCGTATTCCAGGCAAATTTGCCTGGAAATTTTGTCCAATAATCGTACAGGTCTGATAAGTTGTCGATCGTTAGAATTAATGCAGTGTAACTTTTTTTTAAAATTGGAATAAACCATATTCCAGGCAAATTTGTCTGGAAATTTTAATGTTTATTAATTATACAGGTTTTGCCAATTTAAAACAATTATACATTAAGGGGGTCTTTGCTTAATATGGTTTTATTGTACAAAAAAAATTGTTATATAAATTAAAAATTCCAGGCAAATTTGCCTGGATTACGGATTAAGGGATAGATTATAAATATTAGGATATTAGATATAGCAATCAGTAGATAATTTATATAGCAGAACTTTTAAATAGATAATAACTAAAATTATATATGTAGCTAATTATACTCTTACTAACAAATATAACTTGAAAATAATATTTAATAAAAATCTGCAGATAGTTTGTTGAAAAATAAAAAAAATAAGAACTTAATTAATTATATCTGAATTACAATATAGTAGATTTTTGGTTTCTAAAACATAAAATATTTTACTAATATTTTTTTTATCTCAACTAGATTTATCTACTAAAATTCTAAATAAAAAATAAAATAACTAGTTAGTTTATTTTTTATTTTTTATTTTTTTTACTTTATACAAATACTATCAGCCAAAACTTTTATTAGTATTGATAGTAGGTAAATAATACATATTGTGAGAGTACAACTAGTTATATATACAACTTTAGATTGTTTAATTTAAGTAGTCTGCCTGAAGATTCTACACTAGCTGCTATATCTGTAATCTATTTGAAGATTACCTATTTAAACCTTTTGGCCCTATGGCACTTACTCGTATTCTATTTTTATTTTACTAAAGTTCATCTAACTCTATGCTACTTTTCTTTTTGGAAGGTACCCGAGCTGATATTAGTTCACAAACTTTATGATTCAGAGCCTAGACTCTATCACAAAGTACCTCTTCATCAACTCTCTAATCGATAGGATGCTGTAGTACCTAACTATGCTATACTATATCTCAATCTAGCTTGTATATACCCTTGTTTGATATTCATACAAACTCAGTTTCTACTATGATCTTCCACCAGATCGGTCCTTTATGTTTACAGATATTTCACAAGACAGATCCTCCTAATTCAGTTAGCTACTAAGCCAGGTTAGTGTTGCTGTATGATCTTATATGATAGACTTACTCGTACCTGCTTAGTCATATCCTTCAGCCACAGATTTCTTTTACTAGATTAGATATAAACTAGTATAACTGTTAAAATCTGTACTACTTTATCTAACTCAGGATTTCTACTATGCAGATTCTCTGTTCATAGATCCTATCAAGATTTATTTATATAATGTTATGCCTCACCAAATGCTTCGTTATATTTCCAATACCTAATTGGCATTAGTGCAATATGATTTACAGGGTTACAACTTCAGAAATGAGTAGAGTTTTACTGTAAGTTAGATACAGATATCTAGATAATTATTCAATTCTGTATACAGTAGAATTTGAACCCTAGACCTCTTGCATAGCAGTTCAGCAACCTAATCACTACACTAAGATCGCTAGATCATAGTTAGTTTATTAAAATATATTTTTTATATAAACTTTAAATACTTCATAATACTAATAGTTAATAGTATAAAGGTCTGGTGATCTTAGTATAGTAGTTAGATTACTAGAC